ATGACTAATATCCCCCTTTGATAATTCTTAGTAATCCATATTTTGCAAAGATACTTATTTCAGTGAACACCAAGTAACTGCAAACGTCACAAAATGTTAACTTCAATGACTGCTGTATAAAGACACCTTGCACATACCTGAACAACATCTAAACAAAGACGCTTCCATATCATAAGATGACAGGAAGTCAGAAATACTTGAGAAAAGACATTTCTAAAAGACTATACAGGTTAGGACAGTTGACTATGATATTACTGTCTCAGTACAGCTACATGCCTGCAAAATGCTCTAATCAACCAAGTAAAGAAGAGAATGTCATGATTCTGACAACTTTAACACAAATTCAAAGTCCAGGATACTTCCAACTGTCCTTACTGAAGCTGACAAAATGCAGATGTTAAAAATCAGAGACTGTTGTGAAACTCTACCAAACCTTTAAAAACAGCAGCAGTCAGAGAAGAGAGTACAATTACGAGGTACAGATAATAATTAAATGAAATATGATTAGAGGGCACAGAGTAACATTCACTTACGCAAAATCTCTAAGAAGTTCAACCTAAAATCAAAGATAGGCAAGAACTGTAGCTAGGAGTGCAACTGAAAGACATGTCATTTCTTTGTTCTGGTATAATAACACAGCCCCGATCATCACAATGTATGCAAAACTAGTTGTTCCAGAGATTATAAATAAAAAAAGAATACAAAAAGGTCATAATCAAAACATAAGATACAACTGTCCTTCAGTTTACTGCATTTTCAATGTATTCCTGAAATAAGCAAGCAGAAAATTGTCCTGAAATTCAGAGAAACCTTTCAGCATTTAGTTAAAAACATAATAAAGTTGGTATTTTTCAGTCTTCTTAAAATCATTTTGCCTAATTCTGTCTTACTATGTGAAAAATTAAAATGTGACTTGACAGCTGTTTCCTCTACTGATGCATTTACAAATGCTACTCTATCACATTTCTTTTTTTTCCGCCATCCATGCTTAGGCACAGCACCCCAATAAACTGATGTTTCCTAGTGAATGACATTTCTAATCCTTTAAAAGCAAGCACTACACCACAAAAGCCCAAATATCCCATAAAGCATGGCTGCAACAATTTCCAGTATCAATGTGTCTATGATGTTTTATAACACAGCCAGGTACAGACTATAATGGTCTCCAAGGATGTGGCTAAAGCCTTACTATCCAAGGACTGATGTATTAAAAGCTGATTCAACAAAAATTACCTGATTTATGCACTTATTATGTTCATTGTTTTCTATATTACACGATCACAGAATTATAAGAACTCTTTCCTTTTCCAATGTTCTCGTGTTCCAAGTTGGCAAATCAGCTCAAGTACAGGTCTTGTCTATTCCTCATGACTATCAGTGGTTCAAACTGCTGTTGGTACATGTTCTAACGAGCCAGTTCTTACTAAACTGTTGACAGTTGACATCACTGCTCAAAGAAGTTCAGGAAACCAACAACTCTGGAAGAATTGCCAATCCACCGAGTTAGTAAAGAATGAGTATCTATGAATTTGTATTCAGTATAGAATTATAAAAAGTCATTTATCCAAACAAGCATTAACTTTCACTCTTCATCAGATAAAAGCTGTCAAAAGTGCATCATGACTCTTCATAAAATACACAGGAAAAAAAAAAACATCCCACACCACTACTGGGTGTTCCTGGAGAAAGCTCTGTTTCATGGGGAAAAACATTATCAGGGCCCAAAAGGAATAAATAACAGAATATAAAATATTCAGAGTTTTAAAAGGCCCCTAGGCCTAGACTTATTGTAACAAGCTAATTGTTGTCTGATGATTAAAATAAGTAAATAGAAAATACTTTTACCTCTATCATCCAAGTTGCTACATCAGTATGTGAACAGGCACCAAAAAAACCCCCAAATCCCAGTTCTTAGACTAAGAAGGCAAAAGCCATTGCTGTAATTATGTGCATTGCAAAATAAGGCAGTGATGGCCAACAATACACTCCTTTAGTTTGTTCTTTAGATGCGAACTATAATTGTCATATAAACACTTGGCATTTTAGAAGCATTTTTACATGCTGAAGCTGTAGTGTATTATATAAAATTCTGAACTGCTACGATTACAGTGGTGTCCAGCTGCCTCAATAGCTATAAAAGGCTTGCTGAAGAAATAAAAAAAGAGTAAGCATTAGAAAGCATGCAGCTAAAAAGTTAAGATAACTTAAGAACTGTAAGCCACATTTAGTGAGTTTATGCTAGAAAAGCTTTGTAATAATTGATCTTGATTTTTAGACATGATCTTGTCCATTTTCACATTATAACACATAATGCATTCAATAAAGACACAACTAGTACACACAACTTTTTAAAATACAGCTCATTAGCTTTCTTGGACAAAAAAATAAAAAATTATTTGTACGGCGAATATCAACAGCTTCCACTTAACACGAAAAGAGGGTCAAGAGCAAACTCACGGAAAGATTTTAATGTAGACTGTTCAATGAACAAGACTTCAACAAAGCCTTTCCCAACTGCACTTTTTAGGTGCAATTACTCAAACATACTGCTGGACAGAAACTTATTAAGATGAGTATAACATTCGTTTTTTGGTTTTTTTCCCCCTAGCAGCAGGTAGTAATTTAAGAAATTACAAGATTTGGATGTTACTAGGCCATTCAAAATATTCTGCATCCTTTTACTGTAAGAGCTCCACATTGTGACAGTAACACATGCAGAATGAGCATCTTAACATCCCTGTCATAAGCTATACCATATTTACACACTGCAGTGTTAGGCAGAAATTGAAGCCAGAGCCATTGAGGGGAAATATACAGCCATGATCTGTTTCTCAATTTAAATTATATTTGCAATTATAAATTAGGTATCTCACTACACGCTAGTGGCATTTTACATATTAAAAAGATCAATTAATGCGCTACATTCTTAGCCAAGCCCAAAATAAATGACTCCCCACATTCAAACTATAATTTGCTTCAGACAACATGGGCTCTAATTTGCAAACTCTTCAGTACGGATGTAGGCAGAACCCACCTCATGATTTGTGTAGAGCTCCATCCTGGGTAAACACACAGCTACACAGCACAACATGCAAATAAAAGGTATGAACCTCATTGCGTTATCCTTCCTAAAGATTTTTGTAAGTCAGACTCATTATTGTCAAAGCAGTATGTAAATTATGCCAAAAAAAAAAAAAAAAGCTTTCATCTTTCCAATTTAAGTGGCCCTTTTAATGCCAAGTTAACATTACAATGGTTTATCTATGTTGGAGAATTAAATTCAGTTTGTTCTTTCAAGCACAAACAATTTTAAAGGAAAATTTTCTCCATGTATTCAGACATGTGATTTTATGTTTTCATATCTGTTACTTCTACATTAATTATTCAAAACAAGCCTCTCTCATGTCACTTACGGAAGGGCAGATGTAAATAACAAGAGCTGTGTGTGAATATACAGAATTCTTATAACAAAGCAATATGGCAATTTCTTTAACATCTTAAGCACATAAAATACCAGATCACCTACTTCTTTTTTTCCCAATTCTAATTTGAAAAACAAATCTGAATTTGGTACTAAGTCTAATTTAATGAGTGTTTTTTTCTCAGTATTTAACCTTTGGTGACATAGTTTCCAGTTCAATTAATATGACAAAAAAGTGCGGGGAGGAGAGAAGTAATGGAAGAACGTCAAACCAGGCTTGCTCTTGTATCTATACCGTGATACCTACAAGTTGCTATTGATCTTCTGTTAAATTACAAAAGAAATTATTCACCAAAATAAAAAAAAAGGAAAAAAAGAAATGGATGCTTTTTATATCACTGAGTTTGGATTGTAAGTCAGCCCCGTTTTGCTCATAACACTCATAACACTGTTAACAACCATTAGCAAAGTGCCAAAGACAGCAATGAGTTTAAAACAACTAGAGCCAGCTACCAAAATTGCTGCAGGAGAGACAAAGGGGATCAAGGTCAGCATTCTTCTAGCACAACAGCTAATCCACTCATATGAACATGGTATTGGCATGGGTGGGCGTAATACATTTGCAAGAAATACAAAATACACATGATCCCACCTGATTTTCCCCGTCCTTTCGAGAGAACCATTTTGCTCTCACTGGTCTCAAGCCATTACATATGGGAGCGAGCAAGGGGAAGGAGGAGTTCACAGAAGTTCAGGGTCAGACAATGTTCACGTATCCTGTCACCTTCTAACTCAAAACTCAGAGCAGAAGAACTCTTATGCCACGCACTAAAACCTACATATTTCGGGTGTGCGTGTGGGGGGAGACCTGCAATAGGAGCGATGTGTCATACGTGCGGAGGCTGCGAGCAGAAGAGCTGTCAGGAGAACGCTGCCTCGCTTGAAGAGGAGGAGGCGGCGGGGAAAGGACGGTGACGAACGCAGGATCACCAAAAAATCCGGCAGTGCTCAGGGGCTGCCATCCCCGGCTCACCCCTCCGGCCCGGCTTCGCTCGGCCCCCCTCGCAAAGGGCTCAGCCTCTCGGAGCTGCCCCCTAGCCCCCGCGGAGCCGCTCCCAGCCGCCACCGGGCAGCGGAAATCCCCCGCAGCCCGGCCCGACCCTGCCCGGGGGCGCCGAGTGGCGCTCCCCGCGCCCGGGGCTCTCCGGCAGCCCCCGGCCCTCTCGAGGGGAGCTTTCCCACGACCACCATCACTTCCCGCCTGCTCCGGGGCCGCGCTGTCACCTCACCCCCCCCGACGTCCCACGCACCGCAGGCCGAGAGCCAACACCCCGCCGCGAGCCGGACCCGCACCCCTGGGCCGGGAGACAATGAGCAGCCACAACTCACCAGCAGCGCCGGAGCTTCGCGGGTCCGGGGGCGGTTCCTTTGCCCCTTCTCCTTCCCCTTCTCCTCCGCCTAGGAGCGGTATCCGGCCGCCGGGAGCCGAACCCCCCCTCCCCTCGCCGCCCGAGAGCCTTCGCCGGACCGCCGGCCGCGCTCCCTCCCCGAGGAAAGTCACTTTATTCCCCGCTCCAACATGGCTGCTCCCCCCGCCGCCGCCGCCGCAGCGGCAGCCTTCTCCTCGCCGCGGCTCCCCGCCGCCGCCAGCGGAGAGCGGCCGCAGGCCGTGCTCGGGAGCCGCCCGGCCGGCCGCTGGCGGTGCCGAGAGCGTCAGCCGAGCCGGGCCGCGGGGGTGTGCGAGGAAGGGGCGAGCCGAGGCGAGCCGGGCTGGGCTGCGCGTCCCCGCTGCGGGCTGACGCCTCCGCCCGCTCGCACTGAGCCAGCCCCGCCGGCTCCGGGCGCAGGAGGGGCCGCGGGGACGCCCGTGCGCCGGCGACACCTGGTGGCCGAGGCGGCCCCGGCTGAGCCGGCGGCTGCGCGGGGAGCGGGGGGGTCAGGGCGGAGCGCGGGGAATGCCCCGAGCGGCGGCGCGGGGAGCGGGGGCTGCCGCAGCGCTTTTCTGGGCCGCCCTCCCCGCTGCGGGGGAGCCCGGCCGCGCCGAGCCGAGTGGGGCGCTGCTGCCGTTCGCCGATCCTCCAGCGGCCCTGCGCGGCCGCCTCCTCCCGCGGGAGGAAGTGGGTCTCGTCGGCAGAGGCTCCCGGGAAGCCGACCCGGGGCCCTGCGTGCTGCTGGCCGTCCGAGGGGTCTCCCCGAGCCGTTTCGTGTAGGGCAGGGTAGAAAGTGGCGTTTGCTCGCTTCATTTTTACCGGTTCCTTGGCAGCGTTTCCTCTTGGGTTTGCAGGGGGATTTAGCTCATCTCTGAGGCGTCCCCCTGCTCCCCCTTGCTGCGGCTGGCACATTAGTAACCGAAGTTAAGGGAAGCCGGGTGTCTCTTTTGATCAATTTCTAACTCATGTTTTCCGTATTTATTCTTGTGTTTTCTTTCCTTTGTCTCCTGCGTTCAGCGGTGCCCGTACCATCCCCCTTGTCCTCCTTGTGGTCGCTCTGACAGCGCCAGCCGCGCTGCCTCCCTGCGCTTAGAATCCTTCTCCCCTCAGCGATCCAGTCTGTGTTTCCTCACTTCTGAGCCCTTTCCAGCCCTGAATTTCTTAGGCTTTGTGTGTCACCGAAGGAGACCTAGAAGGTGAGCTAGCTGCTCTGCACTATGTTTTTTCACATTTCCATCACAAAGAACAAGATCTGTCAGGAAGGCCAAGTCTGAGCTGATTTTAGCGACATGGTTTTGAATTAAAGTACCAGGGCATAGGTAAACTTGGGCCAGAATTTGGAAAATGGTTTGCTTTTTTTCCCTTTGGACATCTGCTGATCCTTGCTGCCTTCCTGCTGTCTTGCTTTTGTCAGTTCAAATTCGGTGTCATGGGGCCCTTTCCATCTTCATGCAGCCCAGGGTTATGGGTCTTAGCTTCCCCACACTCCCGTGAATGCTGAGTGAGGCCAAAACTGCTTCACTCTGCAGGCAGGTCTGTACTATGCTGTGTCTACGTGGAGACTAGAGTACATTTTAATTTGCAGAAGCAAGCCCCTGAGCTTGAGGAACTCCGTGTGCAGCTTATTCAAGCCAGGCCTTCTCCACAGTAGGGCCAAGAGGGAGCTGCCTTCACAGGAGCAGTGCCAGCCGAAAATTCCCCTGCTTCCAGCTCTGTTGACCCTTCCAACAGCACAAGCAAACCAGAATACAGACAAGTATGTTTCCCAGTAAACAGAAGTCAATTGCTCTTGCCTAAAAAAGGAGTGCAAGCATGAAACCACTTCTTAAATGCACAGAAATTCGCTTTGCCCATGCTGATGTAAATTTCTAGTGAAATCGGTTTACAATAAAAAGAAGTAAATATGACTCAGAAACAAACGTTCTGTTTATACAGACTAAACATGATTACCACGGTGTTTTTGCATGTTTTCAAGATGTAGGATAGCTACCTTACATTTGCAAAACTTGTGGGATTTTTAATAACACAGAGAAAGCAGACACTCAAGCTTTGAACTTTCTGGTAATGCAAAGATACCCCTTACAGATCTCCTTTAAAGCTCAGGACCTACCAGTTCCTGCTAGACCTACCAGTTCTCCTGATCTTTGAATGCTAACTAGATGATGTATGTTTTGTTTTATCTTATTCAATTTGAAGGCTATTTTGGGTACGTAGTAACATTAGAAATGATAGTGTGCAAGTTTATTATGTGCATGATTTTTAAAACAAGCTTCTGAGACAGCACAGTAACGAGTGCAGCATGTCCATTTATTGCAGCACATCCAAGTAAATGCTGTTCTACCTATGAAGTACAGAGAGAACGTGGGTTGGAAGTTTATGAAGCCATGTTTTTATATATTAAAAGTATCAGTAAAATATGCTCATTTTACTTGATTCAAAAGTCTGCTGTTGATACTTCTGTTATTACAGGAAAAGTAATTATGGCAAATAAAGGATGAAACTTAAAAAATGAGCAGTTAGGATGAGTCACCCAAGAAATAAGGGGTCAACACTGATTGCAGTGTAATTAGAGTATTTTAGGGGTTTCCACTTATAATGGGGAGAATTATTAATTTTTAAGAGGGAAGAATTTGTAATGGTAGAACACTTGATACCCATTTGGCCTTTGTATGTGCCACTACCTCATGACCTCAGATGAAGATTTTCACATCTGGGCAAAAGACAATGCAGAAGGAAGACAGAGTGATAGACTTAAGTTTGAAATGTAGGCACTGGTTTTGATTGATTTATCCCATGGGTCTAGTTTTATAACTATAGCTATTGATTTGTTTTATTATTTAGTGGATTATGTAGCAATCAATCATATTTCCATCTAGCTAACCATGATGATTAATATTTTAAACTAGTTTTAAGATGGATTGGCTGGTGAGTGCAATAGGTCTTCTCTCTAATCCAGCTAGAATGGAATACACCCAGATTTCATGGAATGAATTATTGCCACTGGACAATCTGATGAAATTTACATCAGCCATCAGAATCTAAATCCAGCAGTAGGAATACAGTGCTGTCAGGGGACTGAGATTTCCTGCTTTGAAAATGAACATTTTGGCTTTACCTCTACATTTCTTCAAGAAAAGTATGTAGTTATTCTGTGGCAGTAAAAGTATGGGAGTTAAATCAGCGGAGTTCATGTAACGGTAGATGGAAACCCTACAGAAACATGCATTTTAACACAATGTATGTGGAAAGCAGTTACTTCCCTGCCAAGAGGCAAGCTCAGGATTCCGTGTCACTGCATCAGGAGTCAGCGACCTCGCAATCAGCAGCAGTGTGGGAAAGCATTGTGCTAAACTACAAGGGATGTGTTCGTTTGCAGGGGAAGGACTGAAAGCCTTGGCAGGTTATTAAAAGAGGAAATGATTTCCAAATACAATATTCTGTTTTGAAATGCAATTGTTTTTTTCTATTGGATGCCAAGAATTTCTGAAGAATGCAATATCCTCTAACTAATTGTATCTGTGCTCTGAGAAAAGAAACAGGGCTATTGTTCTCCTCACAGCACGAGCTATTTATATGTTAGTCTGTGCAGCACTCCTTTCTGAAATAATTGTCTTCCACCTATGCAAAACTCCAATCCATTTAAAATAATCAAATTAAGATAATTTCTTGCTTTCTTACATCAGGCTGATATTCATATAAAGCATTTTCCAGGTTACTTTGATTTAGTACAAGGCCTCTAGGCTAAATACAGTACAATTCTATTACCTCACGGGACAACCAAACCCCTTCCTTTCTGATGAATGGAAGCAGGAAGTAGTAACACGAAGGAGGTACCCCTTGAAAGAATCAAAAGGGCTATACTTCTGCTAAGAAGAGCTGTAGCCATTTCTGCCATGATTTCTGTAACTGATAGCTGGTCATTGTTTTAGTTGCAATTTGCTTTAGCTGTCTATATTTCACATAAGCACATTGTGGAAAGTTACTATTTGTTCTTGTAAACCTTGTTTTTGGCAAGCAGGAAAGAGTTATCAAACTGAAAATAGTGGGATGTTCATTATCTACACTTGAGATTTTCATTTGCATAGCTATACAGGTGTTTGGAGACTGATTAACTGCTGTAGAAATTACTAGAAGACTAAGCACATTACCTATGCTTAGTTCCTATCTCTATATTACAATTTTTTAGCATGTAAATATTTGTAATATATGACATGACATATACATATGACATATTGTCACTGTTTTCTTCCTTTATATTACTAAACCTTTTAGTTCCTATATGTAACATCACAATATCCTGTTACAATGCTACTTAAATATTGTTTCTCATTTCATCACACCTTGCATCTCTAAATTTTGAAGAATATTTATCAGTCATGTAGTTAATGATTTCAGTATCTTTACAATATCAGAATTGATGCTTTTATTTATATCTGGCATTTGTGGTATTTGTACATACAAAGTATCTACCAGTTGTGTATATTTTTTTGATCTGGAGCACTGCTTAAGTGGAAAATCTAGTTTAATTGCTTGTTTTTTCTTGACTGTTTTTTGCTTCCAGATGGAGATTCCTCCAGCTAATGTAAATGAAGTCTTTCCATTGACTTCAGCAAGAGTCAGCTTAGTCCTTGTAGAATGAAGTTAATAGCATGGAGACAGACTCTTTTTGTACAGTTCTGCCTGGGTTTGCAAACAAACACTAGACACTCCTTTATTTTTCTACTACTGCTCTGAAAGACAGGACATCCTGCTTTTCAAAACAAAAGATATTAAGCCTACTTCAACTAGGTCAATTACTATGCTCAGATAGAAAATGGTGAGGTATTTTCTGTAATTGTCTAAAAATTAGGTTTGTGCCTTGGACAATACATCACTATAATACTCTAGCCTAGTGAAAGAAAGATTATTTTATTCTTTTTCTTAACATTTTGTTTACATTTTGTGTTGGAGACTAAAGGTGGGGAAAAGAATTTGAGCAAAACAATGAAGATCTGCAGGTAATGAAAATTGGTCACTTGTATGTGCACACCTCTGCTGCTTGTCCCTTTCAGGTACCATTCAGGGATACAATTCTCCCTTTGTGAAACAGAAAGCTGAAATGGCAGGGGAAGAGGCTCCTATTTTTCTCTGTTTCTTTCATGCAGGTTCAGTGTCTCAGACCGAATAGCTTCTTCATGGCAAGTAAATTGCTTCATAGAAATTTGCAGTCATTATTCACTGAATTGATTAGAAATGCCATCAGTGAGTCTCAGAATCTTTGTATCATTGCCAATTCGAACTACTTAGTGGATTTGAAATTAAAGCACAAAATACACAGAGACTCCTGCAGTTACAAGACTATAGGTGTCAAACATCTTGTCTTTCCTTATTGTAATGGTTGCTCTCTCCAGAGTGTTTTGGGACTTAAATGATATTGCTTTCATTCATAACAGCTGATTACTTTCCTGTAATACTGTTACATAAAACTTAAGTTTGTTCTAGCAAAGATGGTAGCTGTTCCAATGAAGATGAAACCAGATCATTCTCAAATTTCTGTTTTTAATTCTGGAGAGGAAGGTGTAGAGAGACACGGGAATAAAAGAAGTGGGAGCAGAACTAAAATCCGATGTAGAGAATATGAGGAGTATCAGAAAAGGCACATGAAAATGGAACCAGTGTGCATAGTGAATGCTGGAAATAAAATGAGACACAGGAAATCTAGGAATAGAATGAAATGAGCTGAGGGAAACATAGGCAGTACTCAGCGAGAACTGAGTACTGCACACTTTGCTTTCTGCATGTCACAGGTCAAGGGTACATGATATATTGTTCATGTGCAGAGACTTTCTTATATATTCTAGAGATCCATGTGCATGCTCAGATCAACTACATTTTGGAGTTTTTTGTGCACTGGCAGCTGGTTGGCTGACTGCTTTGAAATTTATAATGGCAGCTTTTGAGATGTCAGTAGGAGATAGGCTTTACAAAACAAGCACTACAGATAGAGAAGGGGGATGGGAGGAGAGCTGGGATGGATGAAAGAGAATACAAGAGAGAAGAAACAGAAAGTAAATTCAGGAAATTAGGAAGGAAGTAGATGTAGGGCTTTATCTGTGAGTCTAGGCCAAAGGCATTTTGTAATCTTAACAACACTTAACTATACAGGGGAGATAGGTAGAATAAAGATGTTATTTTTTTAACTGCCCCAGCTAGTTGCCCTACCCTTCTGCAGAAAGTTGTTACACCCTGAGGGAGAGGAGACAGAACCATATCTATTTCCCTGTATAGTGTGGCAAGTAGCATTAACCACCAGTGAGGACATAGAGGCAGGTGAGTCAGATGCCTGTAGTTTCTTCTGACACACCTCCTAGGGAGGATACCCTCTGGCACAAGGGAGGGACAAAGTGCTGAGGTCTGTAATAACTTTTTAAATTGCAACAGCTAGGTCAGTCAGGCTTTTCTTAACTAATTTTTGCTGTTCTATGAATCCTACTTTAGGCAGCCATGTGTGTATTTATATGTTGGTACTAAATTTGCAAGACTCCATCCAAGTAAGAGAGAAAAAAGTGTGGCATAAAACCAGAAGAATATAGATGGCAGCTCCTATCTGCTCATTGGAAGAAATGCTTCCTCTTAGGTACCAGTGAGAAATTTTACATAGCTACATGTGCATTTAAGGTTGATAAGACAATTGATTAAACTGGTATGTAACCTATAGAATTGTTCTGACACTGAAAATACCAAAGTGCATCTTCAAATGAGGTTAACAATTTCTAAAGATACAAGGATAAGAAAAGAAGAGGTAACTCATAAATTCCAATTGATTTAAGTGTGGAATTCCTCACCAATTTCTTTTTGTGTAGCTGCTTGCTTTGCCAA